CACACGCCCTCCCCGCTGTGGCCCAGCGACCCGGCACTGAGACGCTCTGTGTCCAGTGCCCTCCCCGCCACACCCAGGTGGCCGCCCCTGGCCAGCACGGTAAAGGGGAAGCAGAGCTTTCGGGGTCCCTGGGCCCCCGGATTTGCATCAGCTCCTTTTACATAAAAATCTTTCCAGCCACGGGCAGTGGGCCTCGAAGCTGCCGGGCCGGCTGGGCACCGGGGTGGGGGATGGCAGCGCTGCCCCAGCCCCACACCCCGGACCACAGCGTTTCCTGTCGGGGCTTCGTGGAAGGGGTGCGGGGCCCTCCGGGTGGTGACGGTCGCCTCACCTTCCCCATGCCCGGCCACCTCCGGGGCCCCAAGTGTCACCCCGGACTTGGGTACAGATGGGGCCCCAGAGGTGACGGCCAGGACGGTTCCCTAAGATGACGAAGGGACCAGGACGTCACTGATTAGGGGGAAGAGATGGAGTCCTGGGTATCCAGCACCAGGCTTCAAGGAGATGCGTGGTGGCCGGGGACAGGGACGGTGGCCAGGGCACTTGAGCCAGGCGAGTCCCAGGACTCCAGGGGCACCGGCCGCAGGGATAGCGTGTAGGGACGCTGGGCTGGCAGGTCCTGCACCCCCATGTCCAGCCACAGGGAGGGACACAAGGCCTGGGCGTCCCCAGAGCAGGGTTTATATAGTGGCTCCCAAAATAGCCGGCTGCGGATAGGCTGAGGCGGGCGGGTGCGGCCAGCGCCTGCTTCCTGTCCAGCAAGATGCTTCCTGTCGATAACGCTGCCTTATCTGTGACCGGGACACAGGGTGCGCCGGCCCAGCTGGGCAGGGGCTTGGTGCAGGGTGGGAAGTCCCAGGTCTCCTGTCAGTGGGGTAGTGATATCCCCATGTCCCCAGTCCGACCCTCATGGCGTCCTCAGGCCATGCTGGACACAGAGGTCCCAGCCCTGCAGATCAGGGCTTGGGGAGGTGGGTGGGGCTGGGGAAATTGAATGTCCCACTGGGGTAGCCGTGGAGGAGGGACATTGTAGCTGGGGTTTCATGAATATGTAAGAGCTCCCTGGGCCTCACCCAGCCCACTGCAGGGTCCTGACGACCTCTGTGACCACCGCAGCTATGCTGGGACAGGCAGGGGTCACGGTGACTGTGAGGGTCTGGCTGGGCCTGAGCTGGGCAGCTTCTCCTGCTTCTGCCTTGTGTGGCTTCAAAATTGCCATCTTCCTGCCTCAGCCTCCTGAGCGCTGGGCGATGAGGAGATGCCCTATTCGATGCTGACCTCTATGGTCCTGTGTTTCCAGTGGCCAGGGCCTCTCCTTCCCCTTTTGTGGTGCTGCTGGCTCCAGGCCCAGGTACAGCGCCACCTGCCGGGTCCCTTCTTGTACAACCGCGTGACCCGCCCAGGCCCTGCACATGGCCACCCGCATGCCTGGCCAGGGAGCCCCCGTTTCCCTCCGCAGCAGGGCTGGGGCTGCAGTGAAACCCAAGCTGGGCTTAAAAGTAAAGGCCTGCAGCATGGCAGGTGCAAAGGGCAGAAGATCTTGGGGTGCGATGCCCACAGCTGAGATCCCAGCCACTCGGGAGGCCGAGGCAGGAGGGTTACAAGTTCCAGAAAGAAAATGAATGAGATGTTGCACAGTGGACTGTGGACCTGAGGCTGTCCCTCATTCCGGATGTGACATTGGGGCACAGCTTTTGTCTCCTTTGGTTCTGGTTCTCCTGCCCGGAGCTTATGTGCCATTGTCACCTCCACACATGGGCCATGAATGTCGCAGCCCAACCTTGCTGGGGCCGGCGTCACCACGTGTCTGTGTTCTACATAACGGCTCTTACTTCATTTAGGGTTTTAGGAACGATGGTAGTTTTTATTGACAAGAGCGAAGGATTAATCTTTTTCTTTGTGTGTGTCTCGGTAGTGAGGATTGAACTGAGGACCTTGCACTTGCAAGGCAGGTTTGGTGCCACTGAGATAAATCCCTGGCCCCTTTTTGTGGTTACTTGCGATAGGACTTCCCTGTGTAGTCCAGGCTGGCCTTGAACTTGCAGTGATCCTCCTGCCTCAGCCTCCTGAGTGCTGGGGTGACAAGTGTGTGCCCCCATACCTGGCAAGTTACAATTTTTAAAAAGCAGGTGGCTGGTGACCTCAGGACAGCCGCCTCAGAGGCAGCTGTCCACAGTGTCCCTCTATCTGCAACAACCTCACCTCAGCTCCATGGTAAACTCCTGCTCATCCTACAAAATCCCGCTCTGATGCCCCAGCTGTGCACAACCCTCTCGGACCTCCTGGGAAAGTCTGGCTCTGCCTGTGTTCCCTCCTGTCCCTCCCTGGGGCCTTGGTACTGGGTGGGCGTGGGAAGAGGGGCAGGGGACGGGGCAGAGCAGGTCACAGGTGGCACGGCCAGGACTTGGCGGGCGTGGGATCTGGGGCTGCGCTGTGTGAGGCTGTGTCGCACGGGCATCTGAGCCCCATCCGTGTGCAGCGCTGTCCGCGTGGCGTGCACACCTATGTCCCTGTGCTGTCTGATACGTGGCTCACGTGCCAGGGTCATGGAGCACGAGTCCCGGGCTGCGTGCCGGGATGGCCTGGCGTGTCCTCCCTGCCCCAACCCCCAGGCGGGGGGCTGGGCTGTCTCTTAAGTTTTTTCTTAATGCTGGGATGGAACCCAGGATCTTCATAATGAGCTGCATCACCAACCCTTTAAAAGATGTTTTAAATTTTGAGACTAATTCCAAGTGTCCCAGGCTGGGTTTGAATTTGAGATGATCCTGCTTCAGTCTCCCAGAGTGCCGTGATGATAGGAGTGTGATGTCACATGGTGACTTTAAATCGTCCCCTCCCCACTCCTGGGTCACAGAGCTGTGTCCCTGTCCTCAGGGCAGAACCTGGTATGCAGGCAGGGCCGGGAGAACCCAGGTCAGCGGTGACTGACCCTGCGCGCCCCCTGCTGGCCGCGTGAGTCAGCGCTGGCCCCGGGCTCTCCACCCGTCCCCAAGGCCGCGGCCCATGTCCGGCGGGGACAGCGTCCCACGGAGGGGTGTGACCCAGCCACCCTCGGGGCCTGCAGTGTCACGCGCGCCTCAGGTGTGCAGCGAGCTGCTCGGGTCAGAACCACATGGTCGCCCGAGGTCTTGGAAGGTTTCCTGGGACAGACCCTGTCCACCTGCCCCCC